TTCACTTTTGGAGGAAATCTCGTACGAAACGCTCGTTTTGGAGACTTGGCGCTTCACTTTTGGAGGAAATCTCGTACGAAACGCTCGTTTTGGAGACTTGGCGCTTCACTTTTGAAGGAAGTCTCGTACGAAACGCTCGTTTTGGAGACTTGGCGGCTCGTTTTGGAGACTGGGGCTAAACTTTTGGAGGAAGTCTCGTGCGAAACGCTCATTTTGGAGACTTGGCGCTCAGACCTGGCCAGTTTGTAGTGCACATGCATTGCGGGAAAAAGCTTTTCAGAGCTGGACTCAGAAGTGGCAAGTTTGTAGTACAAATGTAGTGCGGGAAAGAGCTTTTTGGAGCAGTGGCCAGTTTGTAGTGCAAATGTAGCGCGGGAAAAAGCCTTTCGGAGCTGGACTCAGAAGTGGTCAGTTTGTACTACAAACAGACCATGTGGCGAATTACGTTCGTGATGTCGCAGTGCCATGCGGTTTTGCGAAGCGTTGGTGGGAAGTGGTCTTAGTGGGAAGTGCGTTTGCGTGGCGCCGTGCCACCGGGAAGCGCGAAACATGCTGGTGTAAACCCGGCGCGTCGCTGGTGCCAGAGACATCCTGCATGTTGCAGCTGAGCGAATGGACATCCTTCTGCGGGATCGCCAGCACTTCTTGCACCGCAAGACCGGAGATGAGCCACCACACAAGATCCCCTTCAAGATCCCCTTGATCGAGCAGAAGAGGGAGATCCTGGGTCAGCTTCTGGCCACGGAGGATCATTTGGGTCACTCCTGGCAGGCTTTCCGCTCAGGGGTGCAATGCGCTGCGCTAGGTGCAAAAAGCGTCTACGCTCCAAGAGCCTCATCACGGAGTTGAAGGGCTTTGCACAAGCCATGTGAGCACAGTGTGACCAAGCCCAAAGGCAAGCCGACGAGGTTTGAGGTCATTCACGACCTCATCCAAGCCCAGTCCGGAGTTCAAGCTGGCGTCCACCACCTCCAGTTGGACAAGGCCTACCTGAGATGCACTGAGTGCAGGAGCTATATACTAGCTCGCTGCAATGCCAGGTGGGACCTCTCCCGCCAGCCCTCTGGCAAGGTCATCTCACACCATGACCAGGACTGGCAATGTGGCACAGTGCACTAAGTGCCACGGCAAGGCCAAGATCAACAACGACAAGCTGGAGCTGAACGAGCGGCTGCGTAAGTGCTGTAGCAGCACCAGGTCAAAATACCTTCGCTAATGGTTTGGCTGAGCACCCCATAGCACTCAGAAAAGGCGTGCAAAAAACAATATAGATATACATTGTTTTGGAAAGTAGGGTCCCATGCACTTAGAGAATCCTAGAAAGATGTGTTGTATTTCAAAGTTTTTGGGAAGTAAGAAGCAAGATTGCACAAGGCTTCCTGTACTTAGAGAATTCCAGAATGTTTTTAAATATCCCAAGTTTTGCTGGAAGTAAGAAGTCGGATTCTCTAGGACGGTTCTGTGCAATCTCACTTCTTACTTCCAGCAAAGCTTGAAATACGTTCATTTGTTCTGAAATCATCTAAGTCCATGTACATGGAATCATGCTGTCTAAATACCGTGCATTTTCCCACCGCAAACAACACCCAATCTCAAGCATTTGCTGTTCCCCTTAATTATATATTTTTGCCCATGTCAACTAGAATATTAATTGGACGATTCATTGGTGGAAAATAAACTATGCAAAAAGAAGCTAGAACAAAGTTACGATTCTGCTTGCCAGGCAAGGGTAGGGGACAAGATATCCATTAACATTTGGCCTAAGTCCGGTATTCTTGATATGCAAAACACCTCTTGAAGAAAGGAAACCCTTTCCAGAGTTTCTTTTGGTCAAAAAGAGATTTGAGTACACGTTCCATTCCCAAGTCTTTTCATTAAGATGTGCTCTTGGCTTTCTCTTAACAATAGTATATAAAACGATTATCACATCGATTCCTTTATAAAAGCTCGTTCATATTTGTTTAACCAGGGACTGCAGAAGTCCCAGCTCTCCATATCTCATCCTGTCATAGAGATATGTTCCGTACAAAAACAGTATACAATTCTTTATGATGCTTTCTTCCTTCACGCGGTCTTCACCCTGTATCAGCCTTCATTAGAATTGGTTTTCCTTGGCAATCGCCTCCTTTATTAATATGTTTCTTAAATCACAATGTATCCTTTGCAAACAGTCTTTCTCTCTGCAAAAGTGAAACTATCCTTTATTGAAAACACCTCCATAATTGCCAAATGCTTTTGTGGAAGCTTATTCAACCCTATTTGTCTCTACTAAAATAAAAGAAGAGAGCTAAAAGTATCCATGCCAAAGGCCAAAGGAACTTAGTTCCGTAGTGTTGACTTTGGGCTGGCAGAAAGTTGCGGTAAGCACAATAGTCATTCAATACAAACTTCACTTATTGATAAACACATCTATAATTCCAAGTCAAAGCAGGAGCGCACTGAACAACCAACGTCCTTGCATTTAGTTTACCTCCCCTGAAAAGACTTGAATGCCAAAGTGCTGGTTTGTACTCTGACTAGAAGAGAGTTTCCTTCTTTGTGCAGTTCTGCCCCTCCTGATAAAACTCATTTATTCTCCCTTTCCCGACAAACTCTTCCAGCTCTGACTGGCGTGCCTTTTCTCAAACAGCTTCTGAATTCATGTTTATACTGTCATTCTCTATGTGCAAACATTATTGAAATTTATTGAGAATCAATCAAGAAAACCGGAATTAGACCAAACATAAAAAGATTGTTTGGTTTCTACCCTTGCCTAGCAATTAGAATCATAATGGATTCTAGCAATATTGTGCATTTTCCTGCATAGTTCTTTTTCCTCTCTTGATGCCCCTCTTGGCTAGTCAGCTCTATTGATAGTTTGCTCCTTGTTTTGTTCAGTTTCCTTCCCAGCTTATACAGATGATTTGTATCACACTATTTCTGTTTACTGACTGTAAACCATCTTGAACAAACCTGCAATTATCTGGGAACCATGTCTAAATCACCTGGAACAAATATCGATTTATCTGCCCAACCATCTGCATACAAACATCTGAAGCCTAGGTTCCGGAGGGAGGTATAATATATATATATATACTTAGTATACAATCTGAGGTCTCAGCAGTGGTGGAGGCGCCTTCCGAAACATACAATTGGCTTTCCACAGGAACTGAACCACGAACAGTGTGGCTCAAAAGGCTTTGACGTTCTGTGTCTACCGCATTTTGCTGTCACAGTGACAGTGACTAGACCAAGTGTTTTCCCAAGCATGTCTCATCACCTCCTCCGGCATGTCCTCACCTGGCACAAAAAAGTAACTGAAAAACGAATAATCAATCAAGCAAAGCAAGCGAAGCAAAGCAAATAAGGGTCACTTCAATTGATCAGTTGCTTCTAGGGCTTGGCTCCATATGCGAAGCGAGTGATACGCGCAAACCGGTGGAGATGCCTTCAAATGTGTCCTGCCTTGGGCAAATGATAGAGCGCTAAAATGATACCTGCCAGAGATATTCCCCTGAGATGCGAGCAGGAGCTCCCCGGTCTCCTGTAAAATCGTGCTCGTACGATCACAAGCATGGTGTGCAATTGATCCATTTTGACAGCGATGTCTATTTGCGATTTTTGCGGCCAAGGTAAACCGCTGGTCGAGTCAAAGGTGCAAAAGAGTGCTCCTCATGGAGCTCGGTCTCAGTAACTGGCTCCAAATCGGAGTCTTCAATGACAGGTGGCGGGTCCTGCATATTACACGAAAGATCGAAAGGCTAGTTGCAATTTATTGTCAAGGTGGGTTTCTATTGAAAGGGCACCACCTGGGACCTAAGTTTCCGTTGCTCATTGGCGAAATAACGCGGTCACCCAGGGCTAACAACAAGACCTGGCAGTTTCTCCTCTTGCAATGATGTTCAAGCTTCCGAGCATTCTGCACATGGATTAGAATCAGAACTTGAATACTTGTTTGTAAGTGATTTCTTCTATCTATATAAGTATGAATGCCTTAAAGAGCAAAAAGTGGACAGCTCCTCGCCACGTAGCAGCGCCTCATTTCTCTTAAGGACTCGTTCGGCACGCCTTCGACCTAATATGCATCGTGTGTACAAAGTTTCTTTGACATAAAAAAGAAAGGGCAGCTGCCAAGATCTAAGTGACCCCTCTCGAAGTCAACCGTTGGACTTATCTTTTCTCTTCCTATCCCTCTCTCTCTCTCTCGCCTGCACTCCAAACATTCTGCTGAGCACCCCCCAGCTTAACAACTATTTCGGAATGTAAAGTCGGTCTTGGAGCTGCTGAGAGCTTTGGATCAGGCAATATACAAGTGTGAATCGAAGAGCTTACAAGGCATGCGCACCAATCAAACTCGGTCAACCCGTTCTGAAAATAGGCTTGTGATGCAAATTGTTTAAACCCACCATGCCTGTTGGAGAGAAGCAATCTGTGGGCTGCGCGAATGATGCCGTCTTCGCTTTTCAGGGCTGAGGGTTTGTACTTACCATATCTGAATGCAGCACACAGCTCTCCAAATCCCTTTTTTCGATTGGGTTTCGTTGGTTGTCAAGCTCCTGGGACGCGGTCTCAGGCTTGCGTTGGGTTTATGTCACTAATTTTGCGACTTTGCTAAGCCAAATGGGGTGTTGGGATTCAGGTTTCGGTGTTGGTTTTCACACTGCCTGTTCAGTTCGGGTTCGCACCCACCAAGAGCTGCAAGTCTCCTTTCCAGGGATCCAGGATTTGGTTCTGTTTCGGTTTCTTTTCACCTTTTGTTGTACTCATCTCTCTTCAGGATTCAGTCTTCGGCTCTCCTCGAATCTCGCCAGTCGTCAGTACAGAATGAGTTTTTTGTGTTTGATGTGGTTGATGTGCGGGGCGTTTCCATGCAACTTTGTTTGATCAAAATATCGTTCTGTTTGTCCTTGTCTTGCTTGTGAGGTTCTCATCCGAGTTAAATAGATCATGGGTCAGATCAAAGCCAGCAGCAAAGAGCTGTTGAAGTATCTTCCCGAGAGCTTGCAGTGGCATCAGTGGCACGTCGATGCACCAGTGCCGAAGTCAAACTAGCGAAACGCTCAAGCTGTAACACGGCCAAACTGGGAGAGGCACGCTTTTCTGCTAGCCTCTTCCTTTCAAGACGCTCCTTGGGCAGTTCTGGCCGTGAAAAAACCATGCACAAATCACATCTATAACTGACCAAATTAATCATGTATGGCTGATGGCTTACTAAATTTTGATCATACCGGTATACCCAGGCTGCGTACGTGCCACAGCTCTTGAACACAGCCCTCCAAAATGTCACCTATCTCTGACATTCTCTGACCATTACTTTGATGCATTCGTATGTTCTTGGCAGGCCCAAACTGACTTACAGCGGGAACTGACAAACTGTCAAAGCATGTCAGCCCGCTGTTGGGTCCAATGAGGAGTGTGGCGGGCATGAGAGACCAAACCAACTGGCGCAGCTCCTCAAGGTATTACAAACCTACTGAGGTCCGACACTCATGAGGCATGAAAACTTCGAGCCAGGCCACCAGCGATCAGGATTGAAGGTCAGACATATCTTACACCACCAAATGCCCCCGCAGCCTCACTCCTTAAACATGTTTGAGTAGAGTATGAGTATGATATGTATCCATATCAACTATGTGCATATACCCGCAGCAACTCCCTACATATCTCGTTTAAAAGCGTTGATGGGTGGCGAGGAGCACCGAAGAGAAAATGTCCAAGCAAGGGTTGATTCATGACTAGCCCGAAGATTTATGACTAGCCTGAAGATTTCTGAAGATTTTGATTGCCTTGGTTTTCACAGGATGGAGACGCATGGAGAGTGTTTTCGAATCAGAAACACAGAGAATAATGTGTTGGGTTCATTCAAACCGTTACAATTGCAACCGCATAATTGCATAATTTTGACAGTACCAATGTGACAGTCTGATCTGTTTCTCCAACGTGCTTTAACCAAGCTTAAATCAGCTAAATATGATGTGTCTGTGTATGTAGAGAGAGAGGGAGAGGGAGAGAGAGGTGATTTAACATCACAAGCACAACCTCGCGGCCTTTGCCTTTGGTTGACTGGTGCGGGAGGCGCCTTCTCAGCAGCCTCATCTGCAGCTTCTTGTTGGCGCACTTTATCCTGTGCAGAATAGGAAACAAGTATATGTTTATAGATTACTGTACTTTGTGTATGAGTGTATGTGTATATGTATGTGCATGTTTTTTTTTCTTCGTCTATTTTCCGTCTGCATCTCAGTCGGCCCTTTTGGCCTTAAAGCACGTCGGCAACGTCATCTGTTGCCCACTGTTGCCACATGGTTTCACCAGCGCCCTGCTGGCTTTGAAGCCCAAAACACTTGGCCTCCTTTCCGCCACATGACGTGGCTTGCATGCCCTTGCCATTGCAGCCCTGGTGTCCAAATCTGGTCCCAGCAAGGAGCCTGTGCCAGGCTGAGGAGCTTGTCTTTGGCTGCATGGCGGAGGGAGCGAGCATTGCAACTTTAACAGACAATGTAATTCTTTCTGCAAGACAAAGGTGTGCGATGCAATGCCCTGGAGCTCCGGTCTAAGCATGCTCTGCAGCAAGCCTGCTTTTGTTTGCTGCTCTACTTCTGCGCCTCCTTTGATCGGGAACCCTCTGGACATTTCACATTCTTCATCTTTCATGATGAGCAACTCCTCATATTTGCAGTGCTTGGTGATGCGCGTCTGACAAGCCTTGCACTGGAGCCCTCTAGGTCGCGCTTCTCACTTGTGGCCCTTCTCAGCAACTTGATTGCCGATGTCAAGGAAAAGCTGAGCCTTTTGGTCCCTAGCCTTCTGCCGATTTGCCTTGCCCTTTTCTCTGTCCTGCTTCAAAAAGTGATCCCTCGTCTCCATCAAATACTTGATGCGCTGGATGGCAAGTGGTGCAACTTGTCTGTATCTCTGATCAGTGATCTTGAGAGATTCTTCCTCTGCCTCCGGCCTGAGGGACAAGGCCATCTCCTTCGCCAGGACTGAGTTTGGCTCAGGCTGAAGGGCTTGAGCGGCTGCGCTGGTCATGGGCAATCAGGTTGTTGAGATCATGGAAAACCTCACAATGCTTCCCATGCACCCACGCCTCCCAGGCCCTTGTGGCCAACACTTGCACCTTGACCTGGTGCTTCAAATCCACATAGTGGGCGACAAGCCGCAGCCCATAGAACCATGCCCGTTCAATGCTCTGGGTCCCGGGTAGGACTGTAGTGACAGCCCCTTTCCGGAAAAGCTCACCATCAATGGGCGTGTGATGCGCCAAAGCAACAACAAAGTGCTTGAGCCGAGGATCAGCACTCGTGGGCGCTATGCCAACGGTGACAACATCACCTCATCATGCGTTGTCCATGAACGCCAGGTTTGCAAAGCGGCTCCACCAGTCGAGATCTCATACCTCGGAAGCTGCAACAGGCCCTGAGCCCAAAACTCTAGGCTGATGCCACTTTCAATCTCTTGCTTGTACTCGCTGTCAAGCGGCGCAAAAGCTTTCTGTGTTTCTGGGCAAGTCAAAGCAGATGAACGGCAGTGGCATCACATTGGCAGTGTGGGCAACGAAGTTGACTCCCTGATACGCCATCAGCCTGCTTGGTAAAAATGGCCCCTTGATGCCAGGTCTGCAAAGCCACATGTTGGGGCGTGGTGAGTTGCCTTGTCAGCCTCCTCCATGGCAGCCAATCCAGCGGTTGTTGCACTTCTTGCAAACGAGTCCTCTTGTTGACGCTCATGACTGTTTCCCACTTCCTTGCTCTGGCCAACTCTTGCTTGAGAAAGAACCAGTCGGCGCGCATGCTGAGTTTGAAGTCAGGTTCACCGTTGTGACCAGGCTTGGTCCACTCATCATGCTGCTCGTAGGACCAGCCATGTTCCTGCAAATAGCATTGTAAGGCTGCAGCCGGTCCCTTGGCACGCTGCCAGGGATGAGCCACACCAGCTAGCTTCTCTTTGTGGATCTTCCATGCCTTCTCAAGGTCCCTCTGCAGCTCCTCTGGCCAGTTTTCAAAGAACCTCCTGTACAGCCTGACTTGGTCAACAAAAAAAGCTCCATAGACCGGGCCTCGATGTCTTTCATGCATGTCGTACAGGACGTCAGCATTGCCTGTCTTCTGTAAGCCAATCTGACGGCCCATCGTTACCCTGATGCGCTTGCGCAATTGAGGAGCTAGCCCCATTGATTCCTGGCCCAAGTTTATTCCAGCCAAGACACTGCCTTTCTAGAGCTTCAGCCTGATGGCTTGGGCCGGAATCTTCAAAGTAGCCAGCTTTTTGGTCTAGGGAGGTGTTCTTGAAGGGTCCTCTTGACTTCTGCATTGGAGACTACGAAGCCAGTCTTCTTACGAAGCCAGCCTTCTGTGGCGACAGCTTTAGATTGTCCTTCTCCAATTCCGCCTTGACAAATTCATAGGCTTGTATCGCTACCCTTGCAGTATTGTTGCGATTCCTATCCACAACATCAAAACTGAGGTCGTCGATCCAAAAGTCAGAATGAAGTTGTGGAAATTTGCCGTGGAACTCTTTGAACGCTCTTTGCAAATACACCTTTGCAGCTACCGGAGCTTGCGGATCACCCATGACTCGTCCATAGTGGTTCAGAGGCTTCTCCTTCAGCTTCCAAGATTCTGGTGCCTGTGTATAGCCGCGTGGGTGGCTGGGTAGGACGAATTTAGCCATCTGTTGGCCAGCTGATAGAAAGAAGTTGGACATGTCCAGTAGCACCGACATCGCCGTTGTGCGGTGGGCCTTGTGATGTTCTGCAGACACTCAGTCCCAGGGACTGCTCGCTCCCAAGCGTAGTCCTGCTGGATATTGGATGCCCATTGCTTGGTTTGTACATTCCTGAGCCGACACCACAATCTATACAGCGTTGCAACCAAAGCAATTGGCCTTTCTATTGCCTGGCTGGGTATCATGGCCTGTTCCTCAACTGATGGAAGAGCTCTTTGAGATCCTGCATTGCTCCAAAAGGCAGAGTGCGCAGAAAATCAAAACCAATGCCGTCCAGGCCAGGTGCCTTGACATCTGCACATCCTTGAGTGGAGGGAGGCCGCGAGCCTCTTCCGGTCCTTTCATGATGAGCTGCTCCAGTTCTGTCGAGGACTTGCCAAATTGCTCCCCACTGCCGGACACGCTGCGGCGCGCGTTGAACTCTAGGCAACCCCTGAAAGGGCCGCAAATACGGCATCTCATCGCGCTTCAACGTTCTCCTGCAACCACTGGACGTGGCCTTGGTCAGCCACTGCCGGTATTCTTCAGTTTCCTGCGACATGCTTTCCTCCTGATGCAGTTCACGTTGCTTGCGCGCGTAGTTCAGCAGGACACGGATGCGCTCATCTCCACGCTGGTGCCATAACACGTCGAACAACATCTGGAAGCCCTCAACCTTGACCGGGGCATCCGGGCGCCAATGCTCTTTCACATGCCACCCCAGCTTTTGCAGTTTGCATTGGTGTTTTGGTTCTCTGCTCGGTCGATGGAGGAGCTGTTGCAGTCTCAACTCAATTTGCCCCCAATAGGCAAGACTTCCTCTTCTCCACAGCCAAGGTTTACCGGGATCAACCAATGGCCTCTGCACATACTGCAAGGAAGTGCCTCTGCCTGTTGTCGGATGGTCTAGCTTCTGCAGAACATAGCGCTCAATGCGACTATAGAGGTTGCCAGCTTTCTGCGTCAAAGGATCTGGAATTTGATGCAACCATGTACCTCAGTATGAGTCTCTTCAACTTGATGCCATTCTCTGTCAGGGTGTTCCAGTTTTGGCGCCGGGCCAAACTTGGTGAGTTGCCGCACAGCAAGGTCCTCGAAATGACCATCGATGTGAAAGGACAACGTGGCACGCGGCCGGAAAGGAACCAACCAATTTTTTTCTCCGTCACATCAGCGACCAAAGCCGTAGAAACCAGTGCCCAATCCAGATCACTGCCAGTATTGCAGGCTTCTTCTCCAGTTGCCAGGACCTGCGCTTGCATCAGCTGCGCCATGGTCGTGGTCATGAAGACCTCCGGCGAGATGTTGAAGTCACCCGCAATGATGACTGGTTTTTGCACCGCCGAGACAAAAGCTAGCAAGCCCGCCCACAAACTGGCGTTCGTGGGCCCTTGAATGCCTTCTCCACACTCCAAAGCCCCTGTTGGCCATCCATTGCTGAACTTTGTCATGGTCCTCTTTCCTAAGGTGAGTTTCAACCAGGAAAATTGGATATCTCTTCCGGGTGACCAGCCATTGTCGAACCTGTTGACCAAGTTGCGTGACATTGGCGAAATCAAAACAAATTCCTCCTGCACAGCATCTCTTGGCCCCTTCAGGTCTGTCGGCGTCCAGCTTGGCCTCAGAGCTTTTGAGATCTTTCGGCAGTAGCCTGGCTGACGGGACCGCCGATACTTGGACAATCTGCATCGGTGGTCTCACTCAGCTGTGGACAGGCTCTGGGAAAAACACCATCATCTACAATCCAATACAGTCCTCTGTAAATGAAAACCGCATAGAAATGCCCTTGAAGGTGTGCCGTTCCAGAGTGGCACAGAAAGCCAATGACCGAGTACTGCGTCGTCCGAGTTTCATTGCCATCCTGAGTGGTGGGCAAGTTGAAGATCGAAGGAACAAGCAATGGTCGATGGTGTTTGGTCCATTCACCGGCCACTGTAGCGTAGCGGCCAATTTGAGCCGCCCAAAGCCCTTGACCATCAAAAACTTGGCCTTCGGCTGCGTTAGCCCATTCGGCAATGAGCTCTTCCAGTTGACCTGTGCCTTGCGCCTCAGAGAAGATCAAATGCATAGGAAAGCCTCTTCTGTGGTGAACCTCTTGCCTGAAGTCCACATGATGGTAGCCCTGGATAACTGCATCCGCGTTGGCCAGGTTGACCAATTACTGCAGGAAATGGGAGGCGTCATCCTGCTTGGTATCAACAAATTTCTGCCACAGAGGTTCAAGCCGCCCTGGCAAGGCGGGCAATCAGTCATGGCCTCCCTCAATGCTCTAGCTGTGTTCTGCCACAGGCGGGGGCCCTCCATGAAGCTACCAGCCCATGCGCAAAGTCTGAAAGCAGCATTGGCGAAACATCGGTTTTTGGGATTGCCCCATCTGCACTGAATTCTGTACCACACAATCCAGCGGGCTCATTGTGCCGCTGGAGTGGGCGGCCAAAGCCGCATGCCCTTCTTCCTCATCACTGGCAGGCACCATGGTCACATCGCTGCCTGCTCCCCCTCTGAAGCCTGGAAAGGCCTCCATCTCAAAATCTGCCAGCTTGGAAAAAACTGGCTTCCCCATCTCAGGCAAGGCGCAGGATGTACCCGCAAGGCCTGAGCAAAAATCTGCACATCCAAACTCACTAGCTCCACTCTTCCCCAAGTGAAAGGCATTGGAGTTGATTGTGTCAGCCCCTTCTGGTGCCCTCGAAACCTGAGGACTGTTACCCATACTGTCTCCCTCTTACGGCGCTCTCAACAAGCTTCGACGCCAGGTCTTTCACCTGGGCTGAGGTCACCTGCAGGCTTACGCCGGCCATGGCTGTAATGAGCGCCTCCGGGGAAAGATCATCTGCCTTTTCTTCAGCATCATCTTGCTTCTCCTTTTCCAGCTCCTGGTTGTATTGTGTAGTAGTGGATTGCAGTTCTTTCTGCGCTACCTCAATCTTCCCTTGCAGCTCCTTGAGGTCTTGTAGCAACTGGGTGTATTGCGCTTTGACCGTATCCGCCTTTGTCTGCAAGGCTGCTTTCTTCTCCGTCAATTGCTTCAAAGTACCCACCGCCTGCTTTACCTTGGAAGCCAGCGGTGGTTCAGGTGGATCTGGTGCAACTAGCTTCTCAACAGCCTCCTTGAGGTCGGGGGGCAAGCTCTGCAAATGTTCCTTGATCAAAGTAGGAAGATCAGGAACTGCAGGCGGGTCAACAACCTTCATGCCCATTGCTGCGCACTGTGCTTTGAAAGCTTCTGGAAGTTGATCCCAGTGCTCTTTCAATGCCTTTTGTAAAGCCGGATCTTTGGCCTTCTGACCTTTTTGGGCTTTTGACCACCATGGAGCCCTGGTGGAGGTTCGAGCAATGCTTCTTTGAAAGTCTTTCTTGGCCATCGTTACCCACCTCCGTTGAAATTCCATGATGCCCATGTCACTGGCTTGGATCTGCGGAGGTCCAGCAATGGGTTGGGTCGCTTTGCCAGGATGCTCCACAGTGATTGCGCTTCAAATTTGGCTTCTGCAGTAGGCAGTCCTGCCAAGTCCAACTTTGATGGCACTGATTGCACACCATGTAGTGTCTTCTCATCTTTGGTCTCGAACTGGCCGGAGGGCACATCTATCAAATGGTGTCCGTGCCGGTGTGCTCGGCACAGCAACCGACGGCTGCTGTGCTTGATGCTGAAATGGCCTTGAGCCGTATGTGTATATGTGTGTGCGTGTTGTGTATGTTTGTTCGATCTGCCAAAAAGGATGTTACTGTATTGCCATCGGCAAGGAATCTAACTTACCTTTTCTTAAACTGTAATTCTCCACCATTATGTTGAGACATTTTTCCTAAACCTCTTGGAGACAGACTGACATGGGTTCCTGTTGGCCAGCTGTCCCCGCAGGGATTCCCAACACTCGCCGGCTGTGTGGAAGGCCTCTATGTCTGTCATACGCTGCTTGGCATCAGCCAGGTCTTCACGGACTTGCACTTGTCGAACTTCCGCCTTTTTCATGGCAAAGTGGTCGAATCCTCTTTTGTATTGTTTTGGGCAATGACGCTTGTTTGCTCAACTCCTACTCTCAATGCATACATTTACATTGTCGAGGTCAAAGATGTTTTTGAATTGCTTGGGATCCTTTATTTGGCAGTCTCCTCCACATTCTGCATTCCTTGTGCTAAACAAAGCATGGCCTGATCTGCAATTGTCTGAATCGCTTCGAAGCCGAAGACATCATCTGTCAGCGTCAAGAGTTCTGTAGCAAAGTGTCTAGATTACTGAAAGTGATCCAGCTTCCTTTCAGATTTGACCATACCACACCTGGACGTTCGTGCTTGGTTCGTGCAAGTAGGGCTTGAAGGTCCGCAAGAGGCTCCGGCAAAGCAACTGCAAACAGGTGCGCATCGCTCAGGTCTGAAATCCAAACGGGTGGTGTTTCCCGTCCCTCTGTCCCTCCCTATGTTCTAGGCCACCTAAAAAGCAAGTCAGTTGCGTGGTCGCCTGTGAAGTCAATTCTGTCTTGCCACATTTGCAAATCGGTCCATACCTGGTCATTGTCAGGTGATCTACAAGGGAGCAGTTTCCAGCATAACCGCTTTAGCACCAGCTCAAGCTTGCTTTGGATGTATATATATAATACTATATATAGTAATAATATATATATATACATATATATATATATGTGTGTGTGTGTGTGGAAGTTGTGGTAGCACTGAACATCCAGAGATGCCAGCTTCCAAGCTTTCAAGTCGTCATCAATGCAGACTCTCGTGGTCCAGGTCCAAAATGGCTTCGCACCAGTTCAGCCCAATGATGGCGCGAATCATTTCGAAGCCCTTGAAGTTGTTCGATCTCCAAATCACGCAGCCGCTGCCTCAAACGGAGACGGGGAATAGACCCTTGCAAACACTTCCGGAGGCTTCCACGCATGTACAAACGTGCACATCCACTCTGCAGCATCGTTCAACCCGTTGACCCTCTCTGTCATGTAAGACGACAAGTGCCTCTCTTTTGCTCCAGCATACCACTCTGGCGAAAATGGTGGCTGTCCACTGGTAAGTTGATCGGGTACCTCAGCAGAAAGTTCTTTAGTTGCAGAATGTTGGCCCCACCGTTTCATACAAAATGTCAAAAAGCCATATGGCTAAATGATTGATTATGCCAGTTTTGAATGTGACTATACAAGATGTGATTTGAGTTCTCGCACCCCCGCAGCTTCAAAGAGACTGTCAAGGTCCGGTGGAGCCTGTGAGAATATAGAAGTGCAAATGATCGATATTATTTGTCCACTTTGATTCTTGCTATGAAGTTTTTGTTTCCTTACAACTTAATATCAGCACCTCTGGCTCTTTCGGCTTCTGGCCATAGACCCATCCTTCCTCTACTGGCAAGCGGTCGACCATTGCCAATGCCACAACTCACAAAGTCTGCGTTGACTGCTTGCAGTTTTTCCAACAATCAGGCAGTTTGAACAGTCTAGCTCGCGTCTAACCATGATAAGTTCCTCCCAGCCCTCTGCTCTGAGCCACGACACAGAACCATTTTTGATTTTGTAGAGAGGATATACGAATGAATTTGCTCAACCGAAGCAACTTGTTTACACTGAACTAGGGCTGCTGCTACTCCTCCCTGCGCCTTTGGCACAGATCTGGTACAAGCATAAGTGAAGGTCACCAAAGCACCAGAACAAAAACCATGTTGTTACAACACTGCAGATTGGTTCATCAGAAATTGAGGTTACTAGTGCCTTTCTTGTGCCCTTTCTCAGCCTCCGTGGGTGAAACGACTCAGGCACAAGTTTTCTGCCAGGTCCGCACGCTACTGAATTATTGATCTCAGCCAAAAATGATTTGACTCCTGTCAAAATGGATCGAAAAGTTGAGGCGAGGAAAAATCCAGTCCAAGAAGAGCTGTTCAGCATGCTCGCCCCTCCACCCAGTACACATCTTTGATATGGTTGTCACATGTGGCTAGCAAATGTGGTTGTATAGCCTGCTATGTGATTGGCGGCCGAGACGGTTGGTGTCTCAGAGAACAATTTGAATTTTATAGGGGTTGAATATGCGTATGTGTCTTGGAATTGGGTTCTCTTTCATAAAGCCTACCATGTTCAAAGCCTTCTTTTGTCTTGCAAGACATTTCCTTCAGCTCCCTTTATGCGAGTTTTCGACTGTGTGTAGGTGTGAGTTTTCTGTTTTGTGATGTTCTTTTGAACGTTTTTCAATGAGTTTTTCTTACAGTATACATTTTGATAATCTATTTGGCTCGTATTCCCAGCTCACCGAAAAAAAAAATAATACAGCACATACCACATATGGGAAGCACAGTACACCTAGGTGCCTGAACAAAATGTATTCAAAAGTCTTCTGCTGTGTACTCTTCTTCCTGCCTCTTACTTCCCAACTTCCCAAATATGCTATACAGAACATTCAAGACATTTGGAACCCTAAAACTATGTAGAACTGGTTCAAGATACAATGGTGGTGCTCGACACCCTCTCTTTTTCAGACACATTCTGTCATATAGTTTAAATTGTCAAAAGCAGGAAATACTTTGATTATGAAGGGGGTTCTTTTCACGCCAAAAGGATATCCTTTTTATTGAAATAGATTTCTAAAAGTAAAGAACCTTGTTATCCAAAGTTGTGCTATCATGTCGAAGGAAATTTGGAAAAATGATCATGTCAAAAAGAAAATATGTCACCTTTTCTGTGCGCCTCCGCGGGCCCAGCCAACAGCAAGAAGGGTGAAGTAAAAAGTAAACTCAATCAATGTCACGGTGGTTTTCCGATCTACAACTGAAGGCTGGTGAGAGGGAATCAGCCAAGCGGGCACAGGGTTGACAAACATGACAAACCCGTAGAAACCATGATACCTGCCAATTGAAAATATCAGCAAAAGAAGTTAGAAGTATTGCGTTTAAAAATGCGAACTTCAATGCCTTCTCCCTGCTCGGATCTGAACGCGCATCCCAAAGTGTCAATTGAATTGCAGACTAGATACAACAATGTCAAACCAAGCCTCGTGGACACCGCCAACCAACCCGCTCCCAAGCGACACACCGCGTTTACATCATCATGTTTCGGATTCTCACAGAGCTACAAAAGGCTAGAAAAAACAAGAGCCATGGCACCTGGGGTCTTGTGATCTGAGGATACAGACTAAGCAGTTTGCGCACAAAAGTCAGCAAACCCCAAGACGATGCACTGTCACACGATGTGACGCTTGGCAGGTGGACAGGGGTAACGTTAATAGCGAACTGTTGGTTTCAACAACTTAAAAAGAAGGCCTTGAACAAGAATCCCAAATAGCGTATTCCTCAATGGCAACACGGCTAACAGTCGGTGCATCTTTGCAAAACAGCACTGCTTTGCAACACGCGGCTCTTTCCAATGCACTGCGCAAGCATGACACATGGTGCGCCCGCATGCGAAAACATGACAAGATTGCAACAAGCAAGAGCCAGCTCTCGCGCCTGTCAGCATGTCAGCGCGACATCGCGACCCAACGTTCCAGCGTGGCAAGCGTCATGCCATCATGACTCCATGTCAACTTGTCAGCATATTAATATCGGCGCAACAACACATCAGCATGACAGCTTGCGCGCAAGTGAGCAGCGAGATAGTTCAGTGTTGACGTGACAGCGCAGACCATGGGAGCGTGGCAACTTGATACTTCAGCACTACGGCATGACAACGTCAGCACAGCAGCATCTTAGCATATCTGCAGAGTTTAAGAACTGCTGCGAAGCTTGATCCGCAACTTGGACCGTAAGTTCCGGAACTTCTTCCGGCGCCTCCCAACGCCCAGGAACCTGCATACCCTAACTTACTCTGGCCGGAACTTGCTTCGGAGGAACCTGCTGTGGAACTTGCACGGGAACCTGCTCTGGAACTTGCTTCAGAGGAACTTGCTCAAGAACCTGCTCCGGAACCTGCTCCCAAACCTGCTCTTGAAGCTGCTGCTCCTGAATCCTAAACCTGCTCCGGAACTTCTCCGGAACCTGCTCCAGAAGTTGTTCCGGTTGCAACTTCCTCGCTCCGAAATCTTTACTGTGGCCAACGCTAAAGACCCCCAAGCCCGCTGTTGGTGAAAAAAACATGGTTGAAAGTTGTTGCAACATTGCAAATAAAAGTCTGTTCATTTCCAAAGGCAACATCCGTCGACCGTCAACGTGACTTTATTTTGACTACAAATGATTGTATTCAAATAACATGATATCCCATTGTCCAAGAAAGGCTCAAAATACCAGCCGGCTATCAAAGAGCCAAGAGCTAGATCAAGAATAAGACTCTGAGGAGAGTCTTTGGTTTTAGCCTCAAAGATTGTGTTTCTTTTTGGAATACATAATTCTTTTCTTTACATTCATTCTTCCACAACCCCAATCCGCCGGCCTGCCGGCGTGTCTTGTGGATGTGCTTGTACTTGTAGTTGTCTTCTCATGCTTAATACTAAAACTAATTGTTCATCCTTTAGATTGCTCCTCTACTCCTCTGCACGGATTTTTGGTTCGACTAACTTGACCCCCCCCCCCCCCCCCCCCCCCCCCCCACCCCCCTCCCCCACGCCCCGCTTTGCACGTTGTTGTCTTCGTCGTCGCCGCCGCCGCCGCCGTCGTCGTCGTTCTGCACGCGTGTTGCCTCTGCTTTGCTTGCGCTTCACAGCGTTCTGCCATGGCTTCAAAAGCATTTTGCCCACAGCTTACACCAACCACCATGTACACCCAACCACACCAACCATCGTTTACACCACACCACCGTTTACGCCAACCACCGTTTACACCAAGCCACGGTTTACACCAACCACCGTTTACACCAAAACACGGTTTACACCCACCACCGCTTACAACAAACCATGGTTTACACCAACCACCGTTTACACCAAACCAAGGTTTACACCAACCACCCTTTACACCACGCCACCGTTTACACCAACCACCGTTTGCACCACACCACCGTTTACACCAAACCACGGCTTGCACCCACCACCGTTTACACCGAACCGCGGCTTGCACCAACCATAGTTTGCAACACGCCCCACTTTACACCAACGACTGTTCACATCAAGCCACGGTTTTTACCAAACCACCGTATGCTATAGGACAAGACCTTGCGTTTTTTCCCCGCAGCTCTCCCACCTCACCCCTTCTGCCCGCGCACTGTCTAATCATACAGGCCTCGACAGACCCTTTTGCCACCGACCCCTTTCCTCAACACCTATAAGCCTTGCGAAATCTTAGAGTAGAGTGGCTTTAGAGTGACCTTTTACCTTTTTCAGCCCCGGTCTAAGCCCACTCATGATTTACGTTATATACCTTCTTCGCGACTTTTTCCCACCTCTGCATTTCCACACGCCCCTTCCCCTCCCCTGGCCGTTTCTCTGCGTTGCGTCTCCCACCCTTGAGCCAAGCTCCCTTGGTTGTGCTTTGCTGCTACATGTTGCTCATTTGCCTTCCCTTCACCCGCTTAGCCCTTGCCGTTTCTTTGTTTTGTGTCTTTCCCTGCCTTCAGTCTAGCTCCCCTTCGCATTTATTTTGCTTACGACACGTTGCTCCTCTGCACACATGCGGCAGCATTCAGCCGTGGAGGCCGGCGGCACACGCCAACGGTGGTTAAATAAAAGTGTTTGAAGATTTTCCAGCCTACAATCTCCCATCACAGAAACAAAAAAGCCCTTGTGCTGCTCGTTTCTTTGGGTTTCACGCGCCCAGAAACAACAAAAGTTGTGCTTTTCTGTGTTTTTTGTGTTCGGAGAGCGCATATTGACAACAAAAACATGTGTCTGTCTAATTGAAAAAACTGAAACCAAAATGAAACCTTGGTTTGGTTCCAGGTAGGTACTAATCCAAAAAGTATACAAACGCACATTCCAAAAAATCAATAGAATTCCCTCCAAACAGTACCGATAAAGCAATCATAGGAGGGTACCATACGCATAAAATGTGTATATATATATGCATACACTCTATACAATTTGTTTACTGGGCCTTGGTAACATGGCTCACGGTGCACAACAACTACAACTGAGCTTGCCGCGCGTTGCCATGCCGTGGAGCCTCCTTCACAAATGAAAGAATACTGTGTGTCAAAATCACAGAAAAAAGAACACGGACCACAGGACGAGCAGTAGAGTCAGTAGAGTGGCGTCAGAATCAATTAATGGCACAAACCCAACAATACTAGATTACTAGATTGAGTTCCTTGGTTCCACTTCTTGGGATTTGTGCCATCTCTGAAGCTACTGAAACCAAATACTTTTCTCTCGTCAGCATCCAAAAACACAAATTAGGCTGCCGAGCATAGTCAGGTTCAGGAGGCAGGGCATGAAGATGTGCGAAATTGTCCGCCACCCCACACCTGGACTGGCACAAACTCCGAGAGACCTCACCGCAAGCTTCAAAAAGAGGCGCTGGCGATCGAGCTCTGGTGCGAGAAACACCACTCCTGTCGAGTCGAACCCAAATTTGTTCAGCAGTGAGGCTGTCGGGATAACTGTTTGCTACAACTGGCAGGTTCATTATCAAAACTGCCAAATTGAGAAGCGCCTGCCATAGCCCAAAATAGCCGACTCTTTCAAGGTTTGCTGCAGCCCTTCGTTGAAGAGGTTTGCTGATCTCACCTTCTTTAAAAAGGTGTGCTGAGAAAGAGATGCAGGAGACGCAAAGGCATCACACCAAAACCACACCGACCATCACGGGCCTCCTTGTGGGGAGCAGGATGTTCAAAAAACCTGTGTAGTGAGTTCTTGATTCGATGGCGTTCCTCCTTGTCGTGCTCTACAAAGGTTGCCTGCACTCCACCACAAGCAGCAGTGCTTTTCAAATTGAAAAACAACTACAGACACCCCAAAAAGCTTATGCAAGTGCACGTCTCGCAAAGTACCAGCCTGCATGTTGCCATACGGGTTAACAATCTTCTTTCCAACATGCTGAAACCTTGGAAGCCATGCAGAAAAGTGCCTTTTATATATATGGAGAAACCTTCGCGCAGCTAAAATCTTGCTGTTCACAAGACACTGTGCCTTCCATGTCTTGACCACTCTGACACAGTTGTCTTCAATTATAATGTGACGGCCCGTCTAACTGATCGGATTTTGTGGCCCGTAAAGCTTTGTTCTTCTAGAAGAAAAGAGGTCAGCCTTGTTCCAGGGTCAAGGCGCCCTCAGCAGTTTCCTAAGCTTTGCTATGGTGACTCCGCCTGCTCTGGGGGCAGCATCAACACACAATGCGTTTCCCCGACCCTGTGTCTTATTCAGCGCGTCAAGACAACGCCTCACTCAGAGGTTGACTGGCAGGCATATTGGGTTTCTTGCAGCGCAAAAAAGGACATTTAGACAGCTGAGAAGCCCGTTGTTTGGGCGCAAGTAGCTTTGTTGTGACCCACGATTCTCTTTCATGCGCGTAGTGCGTATGGGGCACAATTGTTGAATTTGAGTCTTCCAATGAATTTAGGTGCATGAGATTTCACGAGACGTCTAATGTTCTTATGTGGAGGGGTCTTTCTTGAGAATAGAAAAGCCACTATCATTAGACAGGTCATGGTGGACCAGTTTCGGGGACTTCTCGTCCGTCTGACATGATACTTGTCGGGTTTTTTTTGCTATACCTTTTGTGTACTGTAATATATATATATATAATATATGTGCGTGTGTTGTCCGAAGTAGACAATCATGCCGCCATAAAAATGAAGTATGCAGCAGCTGATGATTTTGTGGCTGAAGCGTGTCCAAGACAAACTCTGTTCCAAACCTTCCGACTATGCCAATGACCAATCTGCGCTGCTTGTGAAGGACTTTATTACACAATGTTGGTTCTGGGTCTTTGGGTCGCATCTTGCCGCTTCTTGCCTCTCTGACCTGTCTAAGTGTGGTTGTCTCCTCTTTGTGCTCGTTCTCCTTCTTCTCCTTCTCCTTCCGCTGCTTCTCCTTCTCCTTGTTCCTTCTCCTTGTGCTCCTTCTCCTTCTCCTTCTCCTCCTCCTCCTTCTGCTTCTCCTTGTCTTTTGCCATGTTTGCATTTCGCAAAGATTCCGTGTCGCAACCTTGCCACTGGCAAATATTGTACTCGAAATCCACAGCAGCCAACACTCTACTCTTCAAACTGCTCTTCGCTTCTACAGCAATTTATGCATGAAGATGGTCTCTGATACGTTTGAGAGTCCGGCAAATCTCATGCACTTTTCACACATATAGTTTTGTCAACGTGTCTTCATGTCATGACGTCATTAAATCTGAAACGCTTCTCGCTCCATGAGTCTTCTCACATGTGATATTGACTAATGTGTGTGTGTGTGTGTCATTCTGTAGGGCACCGCGTGCACTTCAGTTGACTCTCTTTCGTTGCAACATGCACCCTCTATCTCTTCGGCCAGCCGTACTAGTCTATTTCAGTGTCACTCCCGGTCTGCTTCCAGCACAGCACCCATGCATGCAAGCTGCCTTTCCTTCATATCTCATGACATTGTTGAGCAGATCAAAGCTATATATATATATACATACATATATATATATATTGAATTGTTTTTAAAAAAATGGGACATCATTGACACTTGAGACAGGGGCAAATTACGGAAGTGGTTGACCCTGCCATCTTGCACAAGTGCTCTTCTTAAATTAGAAGAAACATAACCTGCACTTGATGTGCAACCTTTTCTGTATATCTCCAAACTAGAACCTTCAAGATTTATGCCTTTGAAGCAATCCATGAAAAAATAGAAGGAAAAGGCACAGATATCTGCTGCAGGCTTTCCGCTTGGAGCCCCACTCACATTCGCGGCCAATTCCTTCTCCGGTCAAGATATTGAAGGTGCACCTGACTTCAATGCGCGATGGCTCTAAGAAGGTCGTGTAAGTCATACATGTGTAAAAATAGCATGTTTGCACATATCATATGTGATATTGTGGCCATCCGGCCCCAGAGTACTTAAAGGTGCTGCGCCTACACACAATGTGAACGCCCTTTTTGCTCGAACTTGGGTCTCCCTCGCGCTCCTACAGCGCCCTACCGCCCTGCATAATCCAATCAAATACAGTGGGGGAGGATTCAAGAATGCCTTGCCAGTGGCCCTCAAAGGCCAGTGAACCCTGGTCCGATTGACAAGACCATTCTGTGTGCTGCTTCTTTATTCACAACTGTCAGGGCCACAGTTCACATCATTCACGTTCGTCTCGTGATTGCCACTCGCGGGCCGTACAAGCTACCTTTGTAGCGCGTGGATCGCTACATGTCTGTGCATCTGTGCATCTGTGTCCATGCAAGAGTCAAGAGTCAAATACCTCTGCATATAAATACATTTAGGGTCTATTCTTTGTATTTCCTTCACATGCTGAAGCTCCAGAGTCTTCCCCTGATTATTTTCAGCATCCAGCTTTTCACGAAGTTGGCGTGCGGCTGCAATCTGTCCAGCCACTCGGTCCTGCAAATGCTGCACAGCAGCTGGAAAACGGCATGTGAGGTACTGGCTGACTAGACGCCAAGAGCTTAAGTTTCCCTAAAAATCTAGGAACCAAATCATTAGTGCGAGCGCTTCGACAGGGCGGCGGGGGGAGCTTCCTTGAAGAAGCGCGAGCTATCCTGCGTCCATACTAGTAGCTACTTAAACTACTAGGTACCTCCCTCTAGCTACTAGCTACCTCTCCCTCCCAGCGGCCTACCCCCCTATACTAAATATATTTGTTTTTAGTATATACAGTATATATTTGTTATCTATTTGTGGCTTTATATAGTAGTGTGTATTTCCCAACTACGTAGCGAAGTGTTCTTACTTGGTGGAACTGTGTTCGCGCGACGTTGCTCTGCCGTCGGCAACTATTTGTAGCTTGTATCGCACGTATGTTCCTCCAATTGGAAATAAATTGGAAAAAAATTGGAGGTCGTGGATGCAGTCATCACTCATCGCCGGGCTGGTTTTTCGAGGTGTTGAATGTGTATTGGGTTTTTTGACGAAATGGTCCAAACGTGTTTTCCAGACAAATCTCAACCAAAAACTGTGATTTTGCTTGGTGCGGGTGAAGCAACAAAGCACTCAAATCATTCCACGTGTGTAGTACCGTGCCAGTTTTGCTGGTGTCGCGTAGTCATAGTCAATTTGTGGGGGCACATTATTTTGTGCATTTTGGTTGGTGCTTCTTTGGAGGTGCCTCGTACGAAACGCCCACTCCGGACATTTCACGCGTGTCCTTCAAGAGCATCCTGGAAAAGTGCCGTAGGAGAGTTCCCACAAGCGTGTCGCACAACAGTCTCCCACAAGAGTGTCAAGAGCATCACATAAAAGAGTGTTGAGCAACCACAAGAAAGTCGCACAAGAGTGTTGGAGGGTCAAACAAGAGTGTCACACCAAACATGTCAAGCAAGAGTGTCCTAGGAGTGTCATGCACAAGTCGCAATAGTGTCCCACAAAAGTGTCAAGCAAGAGTGACGCAAAGGCTTGCTTTGCATATCAAGAGTGTCAGGCGAGAGTGTCGCACTTTGCACATCGCACAAAAGTATCATACAAGAGCGCCCACACCACCCACACCAGACTCAGACGTCAACTCCGAACAAAAAAAATAGAACAAGAAAATAAAGCACAACCGACCAGAAAAACGTTCCTCCGCATTCAAGGTATATAGATACTTTTGGCCAAGGGTATCCCCTTGACCCACCACGCAAAGTGCATGCTCCTGTCAACGAGCCAGATTGAGGGGTACATTTTTCAGACTGGGCCTGCGAAAACAAAAACGGACAGCCTGTTTTGCCTTTTCACCTTCCTTCTGACAGTGACTGGCACAGCTCTGCATCTGACACGCCCCTTGTCACGTTCCTAGTTTCATCGGCCTCTATGGCTGTCCAACCTAAAGGAGCTGCCATAGTCACTGGCAGCAGCACCCTGCAACTGAGCCCCAAAGCGCACGATGTCATCGACATCTCGCAGCCGCACCCTGCACCGGCACCCTGCAGCACCGTGCAGCGGTACCAGCACAGGCCCAAATCAAGCACGGTCATACACATCTGGCAAAGGCACCCTGAAGTGGAACCAGCACCCAAGCTCCAATGCACAGACAGGCACCTCCGCCTGTACGGGCAGCAACCACCCCCAGAAGTAAGAACTCCAACACTCACTGTCTGTGGAAATGCGCCAGCATAAATCCCAGATAGATATTAATCGGCAGCACCATAACAGCAGCACCCACCCAATCTAAGCGCACACGGCCACACATCTGGCAGCGGCGCCCTGCGGCGGCACCAGCACCCAAGCTCCGAAGTGCACACAAGCACCTCTTCCTATACTTGAAGCAAAAAACCCAATAGCTCTCGCTATGGCAAATGGAACATTGTGAGCTGTACGGGCAGCGCCCAGCGGCACCAGCACCCAAGCTCAGCAACACCCTGCAGCGGCACCAGCACCCAAGCTCCCAAGCGAGCACCCTGGAGGGATGGGGTTCTACAACACTCAAAGCAAGCCACCAAAGTATCAAAGATCTTGCGGAGCTTCATGGGGAAGATTAAAAAGATGATACAAACCAACAAATATATATAACTTGTTGCCAGTAGGATCCGCATCTGTCCGTCAACAGGACCTACCCAAACCTGTCTACGGTCTACAAGGGCTTGAAGCAGTCCTCTCGAGCTTGCTCCCGTGCCTGCAAACCCATATGTAGATACATAGACATAAACTGATCGTCACTCACACCAAGCAAACCTTTGGCAACCATAACTTCAAAGCATGCCAGTACGGCCGCTTCGTGCTCCAGTCTTGCAGCATCTTGCTGAATGTCTGCCCTGCGCTGGAGGCAAAGCAACATCTCAGCCGTGAGCTGTCTGGCTGCAAATCAGGTTGAAAACATTAAGAGCAAGACTGGTGCCGGCGATGAAAGCCCTTCCAGGAAGGAGCTATTGAAGGTGGTGCGAATTGAAGTCATTTAGCTGTCAAAAGCGTCTCTCTGCCCTACTCTTTGCTCTCCGTTCACAAAATGCTTCAAATTGAATGTCCTTGTGAAAACGGGTCTCATTGATGTTGGAGGCAGCAGCAAAGTTGGCTTCCTCATCCACACGCTCGATTGGCAAATGCCTCAGTGACGCCCAGGACGCAATGGCTGCCTCCTTTCTATTCATAGACTTCCAAGATTCCTGCTGGGGTTTCAGAAAATCATACCGGAGATACTCCGGAGTTGCTGCCTTGGAAAAATGATGGGCTTCCACTTCCAAGACCCGGCTGAACACATGCAGACATCATTCAACTTGTCACCTTTTGTGGACAATTTTCATAGGCCTACAAATGGGCAAAGAGCCACAACTGAGTGAAACTGACACAAAACAAGTTTCTTGTGCAGGTGCCTCTTCTCCACAAGAAAGAAGCGCAGTGGCGTGAAATCTGACCACACCATGTTGGCCAAACTATTCAACGACCACAAGAAACGCTGCTTGGGAAACTAGGATCCTTTTGGAACGCGGGCAGCTTGCCTGGGCAGCTTGGAACCCTCTTGGCGGGATGGGAACTGTCTTTATTGGGTCGGAAGCTTCTTTTGAAGTCTGGCCAAAGAACACTCGCGACAAGGTTCCTGTTGTATTGCATGGGTGAAGCAAGGTTCTCGCAGCAACGGCTCTATATAAATGTTCCAGGACATGTTGCAAGATTCTTGAGTTCGCAGACGAAGTGAGCACCCCATCGTTGCAAGAAAGTGTCCAAGCTTTCTGACTGAATTTGCTCGAGGGTTCTGGAACTTCGGAATCATGTCAAGAAAAGCTGAGTCAGAAAGGTGTCCCAAACGCTTGTTGGGACACCACGCAATTTTAACCGGTTCTAGGATTTGCACACCCTTTGCAAGATAGCCAACGTTGTGTAATTGGCATGTAAATTCAAGAAAAAACTGAGTACGAGGTCATGTCATGAACAGGACATACATATGCATGGATGTGTATGTATGTATATATATATATATTGCCTTTTGTTGGATCATTCTATCCGTTTTTCTTTCTTATTAATTGCTTTTATTAGATAAAATGCTATATGTTATGAGAATAAAGAGATGAGAATCATTATATTTTATAGAGAAACTCTATGCTTTCTATCTATCTACACCATATAATTCTGTAAGAACAAGAGCAGCAAAGCTTGTATGGAAAATACATGGAGAATATAAAGAAACAGCAAAATGGAATAAACACAGCTTAATATGTTCTTCTGTTCTGCTGTCTCTGTCTTCCCTTCATTTTCTTCCTTAATATAATATGTGTTTCCCAAGTCACTGATACTTTACCTATAGGAATAATACATATTGTTGTTCTATTATCGTCATTTATATTTTTCATGTATACATGGGTATATATATATGTGTTCTTGCCATTAAAGTGTTGGATTGAAATTCATCATCAGTTAACTGTCCTTTATAATAATGCTGTAGGATTAGCTCACAAAGCAAACAAGAAAGGTTGACATTTCAGGTGGGTAGCAGCTACCCATGTGCATATATATGTATATATATGAACACATTTATCTTAGAGGACTCCTTGCGCGTGATAGGGATTTTCGAGACCTTCAGAACTTGTATATAGCCCTGACCCATCACTTAGGCTTGACACCGATTCCACTTATTATATAGGCAAACTCCTTCTTCCACCAACCAAATGCAACCACTGATGATGTATCAAACCTTTTTGTCGTTGCTAAAACGCAAAAGGCCAAGAAACGCCTAATCATAAATCTGTGTCGGATGTGATGAATACATGTTTCTTTGGCTGCTCAAGTGATTTTTGAACAGAACAGTAAGGACATAGGAACAATTGTCTGCACAGCTGAGCAGCCAACATCGCATGTTACCGTCTTTTTGGCACTCTTCTTGACCCGCACATTTTCAAAACGTCCCAAAATTCCACCTGGCGACCACTGCAAATGGATGTATTGCAAAAGAACTCGTTCGATGCAATTGCTGAATCGCAAATCACACAGCTATAAGTGGCCTCCCTGCGGCACGACCATCTGCCGTTCATCAATCATGGCAGCCGTTGATAACTTGAACTAAAATATACAGTATTGGTTTCTAGTTTCTAGCTGGCGAACTGTTTTTAAGTTGCAAAAAAATGTTTGATCCTTCAATGTCTCACGACGCAGTCTTTTTGAACCGAAAGAGTCACCACCTCTGCACCTTCCCTGAGCAACACAAATGTTTCGTAACATTGACATTTCGAAGCTGATAAACACACACGACCAAGATCTTCAAAAATGTCAAACTAGTAAACGCAGTTTGCCCTCAGAATTTCATTGGCAGCAGGGTTTGCAAGCTTGTTATCAACGTCCTTACATAATTACATATGCGCAATGTGTTCCATGTAACGTGCACGGCACGATTGCTTCAATCCGCGAAGCGCAGTGTACCAAAAAAAAGGTCTCATCTAGTGCGGTTTCTACCTTGTAAAATACTTCGGGGCCGGCTGAAACGCAGTGCACAAAAATTCATTCAACGTCCTGTCCAGAAATTGGCGTGCCTGAAAAGATTTGCAGCTCAAATCAAACATTTGCGCGGTGAAGGCTCTACATTTAAAGAACTCCCCCAAGCAACTGCCATTTTCCATCCAACAATACTTAGGTTCCAAACAAATACCCGGACCCATGGCTCCCCAAAGAACGGGAGGCTTGACTGCTCTGGGCTACAACCTTGCAATTGCTCAAGCAAACACAAAACACTCACGGTTTCGACATCCCACCGCCCTTCGGTTCAACTTGGGAAGGACAAAGAAACAAGCTGAGATAAAAGCAAAACACACAATGCGAACGCGCTGGGAAACACAGGACGGCCACTGCTTTCTGGTTCCTTTGTGTTTCGGGCAGGTGCTGATGGAGAAAAACTGAGATTTTGCATGTGCCAGAACGCGCGCTCAAACACTGTCCAAAAGAACCACGCTGAGGGGGCCAGGTCGGTCAATACAGCTACAAAGGCATTGAACAGGCTTCCGGGTGTGCTGAGAAGGAGAACGAAAGCCGTCAAACAAAACGACGCAAAGGAACTCCCTCCCTGAGCCAACGTCTGCAAAGCTAGCACTGAGTCACCTGTAATATGGTGAGTCCGATTATTTTCTTGCCGTGTGTCTGACAAAACACCCGCACATGCCAAGTCAGTTGCGAGCATCCTGACATCTCCTCAAGAAGGACCATCTGCGATGTTCGATTTGGAAGCACTTGGCTATCCACCTGAGAACCTGAAGGATCGGAAGATTCCAACAAAATTGCGTTGTCAAGCAATACTCCTGTCGCTCCAGATCCATCATTGAAAGCAGCAACGGCACCTTTGACAGCGTCATTGTCCACATAGTCTACGAGTTGCAGTGATGCTATCTGGTTGCTCCAAGTTTCCGAACCCACCATTTATGCACACATTTCCGCCTCAAACATTATGGTGTTCTTTTTGCCCTGACCAAGACACTCACAAACCTTTTGGGAAGGAAACCTGCCACGAACTCAGATGGCCCATCACGATTCGGACAGGATGCAAGTTGTCTGGTTCGAAGCTTGCAACGGTGCGAGGTCTCCCTGCGCAGCACAAGGCCGAGTCCTGCACAAAATTGCGGGTTCGGTGACAGGCGTTGAGGCTTTGCGAGACATTCTGCCCATGAACTTATTTTCCGCAAGTTGCATCGGGCCCAAAGTTTTGGAGCATCAGCCCGACTGAGAACACCTTCTTCAAGCACCTTCCGCACGGACAAACCGGACTCTTTGTTTCAAAAGGGATCAGCCCGGGCCCTGTCTTCTGCGACTTTCCAGCGCTCGTTGATTGAATTTTCATGGATGGGCTCTGGCGCAACTCGTGTGGTTGAAGACGCTAAGCCACTGCTGGAAATTGCGGCCCCCCTAAGAAACTCACACCTGGTGAACACTCTTTGGTCACTGAAGCTCTTTGGCTGTCCGAAAAAACGGACACAGCAGTTGTCTCTGGCAGCACTGAACTTCGTGGGTTTCTGACCACTGCTCCTTCGGCCAAGTGTTTGCCACACAACCATCCCAGCAGAAATGTGCCACACACACAGTCATCACGAAATGATCTGCACTGTTCTTCTGAGTTCAAGTGCGCTCCACCAGCTGCATCAAGCGCACCTGAAACCATGCTCATGTGAATCACCTTCTTGAGTACTTCATTCGAATAATGGCTGAAACAAAGTTTTCATAGCACCGCATAATTCTTTTTGGCATCTCTGTGAAAACACGGTCGCGCAAGCTTCCCTTTTCGATCCCGCTCCTTGAGCCAAAGTCACAGTCGGCTTAGGCTGTCTCAAAGGTTCTCAAAGTTTCTCCAAAGCTTGTTTGTCACCTCTTCTTACAAGAGTCAAGACTGTTCACAATCATCTCAAACCTACTCAAAACTAAAGAGAACTATCTCAAACAATCTCCATGTACACGCTGCACTACCAAAAAATTCTCTAGGCTTCTCCTAGCCACGTCTAGCCACACCAAACCTTCTAAAAGGTTATCCTGCCAAAGTGGCCAAAGCAAATCACCAACAAAAGGACACAAACCAAAGTCAGCTCCAACCCCAAGTCATAAAAATCGAAAATCTACCTAAGAAACAGGCACTAGGTGATCCACCCCTGATCTAGACTTACAACCCTTTTGGCTCTGATTGCATAAGCCTGGCCGCTGATCATCTCCAAAACCCTGTCGCTGCTCTTCAAACCCTTGGCCACTCTGCACGTCAACCCCTTTTCTGATTCGCCTGCCACTCTGAGATTGATCTTTCTTTTCCAATGCTTGAAATCCCGTTCAACAGCAAACCCAGTCGCCCAGCCTGAAGGTCCATACCTAATAAGGTCAAGGTCAAATCCAATCCAAGGTTCAGATTGTAATGAACACAATGAAAACGTGGAACTCGCAATCCTGCTTTTCCTCGTGCAATTCCGGAGCTTTAGCAGCCTTCGGCTGGATCACAGCCAAGCCTGCTCTCTTTCAAAACCGAATTCCCGTCTTGGGGGAACCACTGGTGTTGGATCAGCACATGGTCCAGGCATGGTCTGCATCTGGGACATGCTGACCAGAGCTGAAGCTGGTGCCACACATCCAGCCGTTCCATTGCGTCCGCGAGCCCATGCAATGGGAGGACATCTTCGCGCCAGCTGCAGAAGAAGTACCAAGGCAGATTTCGAGAATTATTTTTTCGTTTGGACGGAAATCTTGATGGAAGCGCACCGCAGGATCGGTGTACCGAAATGAGCTTGAGGATCTTCTCCTGCTCTGCGACAATTCTTGACCTGAAAGGATGTTGACCAAGCAGGCGCGTGCCGACGGGACTTGCACGCCGCTGGGTCCGTTCTCCAGCGTTTCTGCTGCTGCTGCCCGAATCTCCCGCAACGCGGCCAAAGCGTCCGCCGATTTGCTTCTAACCTGTCATTTCAAAAAGAGTCATCGTCGAAAAAGGGCAGAGGCAGTGGCGCGCAGCCCTATGCCTATATCCTGGTATGACACTTTACAGTGTCAAAACTGTGACATGACATGTTCAAAAAAAAGCTTAAGTTCTCAGCCGGCGCTCTGTTGCAGGGTGCAGCAATGTTGATGCTTCCGCAGCTTTTTTTAATGGCTTCACTTGTTGTTTACTAGGAGGTTTGAAAAACAGCGCTGGACACTTTTTGGACACTTTACCGTGTACACATGCCTGTTGTTACACATATGTGTATAACAAACGACAGCGTCGATATTTGTATGTACATACGTCTACAATGTCACTAGACAACGGCAAAAGGCCACCTCTGAATTGGTTCCACAACAATTTTGATATATATGTATATATATGTATGCAAATCAAACGTGTATATATATACATTCTACAGGCCATATCGTCTGCAGCTGTATGCGTAATCCTGCCTGAAAAGACCCGCCTCCAAGTGATCTCACTGAGAAAGTCCCTGAAGGCCCCGGGCTCTTGTTCTCTTTGAAGGTCATGCTGTAGGTCCAGGCACTATTACAGCGCCATGACACTGTTACAGCGTCATTGGCACTTTCCAGCACCGGGCTGAACAAAACTTTACAGCTTTGGACAGCCCCTGAGGGCCACACCTCATGCTGCAGTCAAGACGCTCTAACTCTCTCCAGGTGAGTCTCAACATGCCTGAGCTGACAGTTTTGAACGAGGAGTATAGTCTCACAGCCACTCTCACAGCGGCAAACATTAGAAGCCTCAAACCCCATAATATACATGGCATGTGCGTTAAAACCCTCCTGTCTATCCAAAGAACTGCTTTGCTTTTAGCAAGGCGGTTGGCTTTGAATGAGATTCTCATGCCTGTAGATAGACAATATAAGTTCTTGAAAAAGTATAGGACAGTTAACTGCCCTGGAAGCTTGGCGCGTTGGAAACTCTAAGAGTTGGGCCAGAGCGCAGGTGAACCTGGCCGAAGCTGTTGACCACACGAAACAAATGTTTGGCACTTTACAGCGCCGTGCTAAAGTCAAAACTCTGAGCGTTGGGCCAGAGTTCAGGTGAACCTGGCGGAAAGCTTTTGAGCGCACCAATCAAACTGTTTGGCACTTTACAGCGCCGTACTATAACCAAAGCTAATCGAGCAACGATAATCTTGGAACCATGGCACTAGGCCAATTGAGCAGTGGGATAATGTTACTTGGAAAGAAGTCATAAAGAACCAAAAAATAGGACGGACAAGGAAAGACACATCTGAACCAAAACAACCATGGAGCAACTCTTCCATTCACACACTTCCTCACTTATCTACAGTAATGCAATTGCCACGCAATTGATCTGTTCAACCTGCGTCACTCTGCTCAACCTGTGTCTCACAGTGTTCGTTTTTATTGAGTCGCCCTGCCCCCCCTGGCCTGTTCTTTATTGCCAGCGATCATGCAAAAGTCACTGAACTTGTGAACTTCGATGGAAAACCATGCTCAGAACAACGACCTCACAACATTGATTCCTCAATGTTGGGCTCCCTCCAAGAGAACGATACACATGATCAAAACACAAATCACACTCTTACAGCGTGATTTCGGTTTGAGCCATCAATTTGT